TTCCTCTTTTCCTATTTGGATACCCTGGGTTTCCTTCTCTTGTCTAATTGCCCAAGTTAGGACTTCCAACACAATTTTGAACAAGAGGAGTGAGAGTGGGCAGCCTGTCTTGTTCCAATTTTTATGGGAAATGTTTCCAGTTTCTGTCCATTTAGCAATGTTAACTGGGTTTATGGTAGATGGCATTTATTATTTTGAGGTATATTCCTTCTATATCTAGGTGTTTGAGGGTTTTTATCAAGAAGCGATGCTGGATTTTATCAAAAGTGTTTTTTGCATCTAATGAGATAATCATGTGGTTCTTTTTTTACATCTGTTGATGTATTTAATGACATTTATGGTCTTGTGGATGTTGAACCAGTCCTGCATTCTGGAGATGCAGCCTACTTGGTCATGGTGGATGATTTTTGAGATGTGTTTTTGGATCCAATTTGCTAGAATCTTGAGGATTTTTGCATCTATGTTCATAAGCATAGATGCCTGTAGTTCTCTTTTTTTGTTGGATCTTTACCCGATTTGGGTATCAGTGTGATGTTAGCTTCGTAAAATGATTTTGGGAGAATTCCATCTTTCTCAATTGCCTGGAATGCTTTCAAAAGGATTGGTATCAGCTCCTCCTTGTATGTTTTGTAGAATTCTGCTGGAAAGCCATCCAGTCCAGGGTTTTTTTAATAGGTAGTTTTTGTAATGACAGAGTCAATTTCCTAGGTTGTTATTGGTCTATTTAGTGTCTCAATGTCTTCTTGTTTCAACCTAGGGAGGTTATATGAAAGACTTCAGAAAGACTTCAGAAAGTCTTCCATTTCACTTAGGATATCAAGTTTGTTTCCATATATAGGTGTACATAGTAATCTCCTATCATCTTTTGTTTTTCTTCAGGGTCAGTTGTGATTTGATCTTTTGTATTTCTGATTGTGTTTATTCGGGCTTTTTCTCTTTTTCTTGGTCATTCTGGCTAGGGATCCATCAATCTTGTTAATTCTTTCAAAGAACCAGCTTTTTGTTTTGTTGATGTTTTCCTATGATATTTTTCTTCTATGTCCTGTATTTGGGCTCTTATTTTGGTGATTTGGATTCTTCTGCTAAAGTTGGGGTTTTGGTGGTCTTCTCCTTCCAGTTCCCTTAGGTGATTTGTTAGACTCTCTACTTGTGATCCTTCTGTTTTCTTGATGTGTGCTCGTAAAGATATAAATTCCCCTCTTAGAACTTTTTTCAAGGCATCCCAGAAGTTTTGGTAAGATGTTTCTTCATTTTCATTTGTTTCCAGGAATCTTTTGATTTCTGCTTTGATTTCATTGTTGACCCAGTAGTTGTTCGGCATCATGCTGTTTAGTGTCCATGTCTTCGTAGGTTTTGGGGAAATATTGTTGCTGTTGATATTTATTTTTATTCCACTGTGGTCTGAGAATGTGCATGGCAAGATTTCAACCTTATGGAATTTGTTTATGCTTGATTTATGTCCAAGAATGTGATTGATCTTAGAGTACATTCCATGTGGTGATGAGTAGAATGTATATTCTATGGTTGGGTGGAATAATCTGTAGGTATCTATTAAGTCTATTTGGTCAAGTATCAAGTTTAGGTTCTGGATCTCCTTGTTGATTTTTTGCCTCGATAATCTATCCAGGGCTCTTAGTGGGGTATTCAAGTGTCCTGCTATAATAGTGCTAGAGTCAATATCTTTTTTTAGTTTACTTAGTAGTTGCTTTAGAAACACTGGTTTTCCTGTGTTGGGTGCATATATGTTTAGGATGGATATTTCTTGTTGATGGATTGAAACTTTTATCATTATATAGTGTTCTTTTG